CGTTCGAAGCTATACTTTTTGTACGGTTTTTGATCGAAATGCCCTCGAAGCATACTGCACAGCTTTCGAAAAGTAGCCTGCGAGCAGCGCAAATGGCGGCAAAATCAACAATTGTAACACTGTTCGTCTAGCATAGTTTCGAAAGCTATAGCACACTGAAACGTAAATACGTTCACAGGGGTATCCCTGTGGAACATCAAGCCACACACGAGAGCGGCACTAGCAGCTACGGTATAGAGCAACAACTTGGGGCTGGCTTGGCATCGTCAAAAGCACGGTGTCTGCAAAATGCAAAATGCTGCCAGCCATCCACTACCCAACTAGTGCCCGGATATACTCAACTCTTTTGCAAGTTCTCAAGTTGTCCCAAAGCAGTAACATTAACCTACCCCTCAGCTGGCGGCAGCCAATCACAGCGCTCTTTACACCTAAACCTAACTTAAGCACCAGACCCAGAACCAGAACCAGCCAGCGCGACCAGCCCCTAAGGATAGCCGCCGATTCTGTGACGGGGTCACACAGCACCTTGCGCTAGAGGAAGTTATCTTCCGAGAGTATACAAACTCTCAGTGAACGGCAGTTCACAGGTCCCCTCTTAAATAAAGAGAGCGAAGTGACCTAAATAAGGTAGATTGTAAACTGAGTATATTTATAGATAGGTTAAGTTTGGGTTTAATACAAACTATTAGCTACCTATAGAAATGCAATGTCATTTAGCCAATGGTTGGCTTTGAACGACCTTGGTACCTTGTACCAAATATCCCGGAGTATGACGTGTCATACTCCTGAAGTGTGAAGTGTCACACTTCATGTAAGCAGGGAACACTTAGGGCTACGTACCCCGTTACATCCTCCCCCACTTAGGTTCAGTTTACCGACCAATCAGAATGAAGAGGTGTTCGTCACAAACTCTCATTCTCAAAGTCGAAAACCATCGACTTGGCCGCGCGAGCGCGGCGGAGGCTCACTTCACAGTTAGCGCCTCGAGCAGCAACCTGTGCGCTCTTCGTCTAGGTCTCCACTTCGACCGTTATCATGCCTCGTGGCACTGCAAAGAGCGGTGCTAAGACACGCTCCAAGGCTGCTGCCGGTAAGGCGCAAGCCAAGAGCACTAAGCCTCACGGCAAAGGCTCTGCACTCAAGGAGGCTACTCAGGTGGCCTCCGAGGCGATCGGTTCCTCGGGTGACGCGGCTGTGGACAAGCGCGCAAGCAAGCGCCGCAGCCCGTCGCCCTCATCTTCAGACAATCGTCCGAGCCCTCGGTTCGTGGAACGTGAGTTCAACTCGGGCAGTGAGGACGATGCCGAGTCCGAGAGCACTCATGATGCTCCTGCGGGCTCTGTGAGAGGGCACAGCCCAGTGCCCAGTGAGTACAAAGATGACAGCGTGTAGTCGCTCGCTAGTGATCAAGGTGATCACAGTCCCAGGACTTCTGTGCGCTCCTAGAGTCGGGCCGCCAAGGCTAAGGGCACCCCCAAAGCTGGTGGCGATGAGGAAGAGAATCCTCGCAAACGTCTCTCGCTTGCCGAGGGACTTGCGCGTGCTAAGACCTCTAAAGCCGAAGGCGCCAAGCCCTCAAAGAAGCGTACCGTCTTAAGTCTCCACTCCGCGAGGAGAAGGAGACTCGTCGCTCCTATCGGAGTATCTTCGACTCCTCGGATGAAGAGGAGGAGAAGGAGGAAGAAGAGGAAGAGGAGGGCGCTATCGTTGAGCCCCGGGAGGTCTCGAATGACCTCGACCAGCAGCAGGATGAGTTCCAAGCTGCCCAGCGTGTGCGTGGGGGTTCGGAGGCGGCACCCGTCAGCCAGGGAGCTGCCATCAACTCAAGAGGGTATTGGCCTCCCGAGGAGAGCTCTGGGGCTGACCTCTTCTTAGAGCTTCTCGTCGCTCCTCGTGGCCTTGTGGGCGGCCACACTTCTAGGGGCATCTATGAACGAGCCCTTATTCAGAAAGAACAGTTGTTCGTCGACAACTTGGAGGCTGCTCGGTGTGTGCTTCTCGCGCCACACCGCATTCCCCTTAAGGACTTCACGACTTGTCGTAAGAAGCCCGAGACCCGGGGTGGTCTCTATCCACTTTGGGGATACCCCTGGGTTATGCCCGAGAGCTGTCCCACGTGGCGTTCTTGTGAGGACATGTTCTGGGCATGGGTGGAGACTCTTAAGTACTCACCCACGGAGTTACGGGAACTCCATGAAGATCAGCTGCTGTTCCGCATCCTGGACCAGCGTGATCTTCGTGTGAGGTTTGCCCACTTGATCAGCAAGCGTATGCTGCCAAGGGGCATCCTGAAGCGCGCGGCTTCTAGCGCTCACGATGAGCGCGGGTACGGTATGTATTCATCGGCCGTACCCCGTTCGGGCAAGAAGCCCCGGACTACTTATGAAGCTGCCGCCGCTTCTGCTCCCAGATTGCAACAGCCTTCAACCAGTCAATCAGGAGCCGTTCAATCGGCTCCCACGAGTTCTCGGAGTGGGCATAACCCTCCACTTCACGAGGAGCTGTCGCTTACCGCGACGCCGTTGCTCCTGGAGGATCTGCTCCACGTGGAAGTGGACTTCTCCATATCGGTCAAGCAGGGGCGGAGGTGCCCTCGTACGAGTACGAGTACTCGGCGCCTCCCGAGAGCCACTCTCGTCCGAGTGCTCTGTGGTGTTGGAAATCCCACGTGAACTCTAGCTACAGATGTAGTTAGGATGTTCCCACAACAATACGTCTACTAGGATAGTAAACGATCGTTCGGGCGGACCTGAAGACCCCAGTTCTGCCCTTGCACCGGGGCAAACTGGACCTTGTAAACTACTTATATAGGCCAACCAGTAAAATAAGAACACGCTACTAGCACGAGCAAAGCTAGCAGGTGTTTTGAATCCTCGTGGTCCCAACAGCGGAAGGGTACCAGGCACGGGTAAGCCTTTTACGAGATCACCGAGTGTTCAACACTCGGCTGGAAGAAATAAAAGGGAGGCAATTCAAGCACTCCCAGTCGTGCAAGTAGGCAACAATAAGCCGTCACGTAAAACCTCCCGATAATAATCGGCCAATACACAAAGTCTCTTGGCCTTGCCGGATGAACCCTCGCTACAGAGCTTCGAGCTCACCGACAGGCATAACACACTCAAACAAGCTTGACCTGACGCTTACCTTGAAGCCGGACGTCGCTCTGTGTGCTTGAGTGGAAATTCTGTTTCTGTAATTAAGCTTACCCTTCCGGGTCTATTCCTAATAAGAAAGTCCTAATTCAAGTATACAAATATCAAGTGAACAAATGATTCCGTTATGGATTCTTCTTGCATGCTAAGCGTCTTCTGCAACCGACGCCATGAGCAACTATAACGGTCCGCGGCCCTGGTCCCGAACGGTGAACGTAGTCTTCCAAAGGGCGCCTGAGTATTCCGCGGACTCATCGCAACCGGCCAATGAGGGGTTCCGTACCGAAGATGGGTCCGCTGGAA